ACAATACAAAGCCAGGGTAACAAAGGATACTTAACCTCCCTTCTGAAACGGGCCTCTGGTAGTACGTGACGACATAAACACGCTGCTGACACAGTAAATATTGAGCTCACTGCGCCCTCTACCGGTTAGACTGGTTAACGGTGATCAGCTGTGAATTTGCGGCTGCTGGGGGGTTGATGCCTCCACTGTAACTTCAAAATGCAGCCTCACGAGATTCGAGAGCAGAAAAGCAACATGGTTGAGTGAGGATGAGACTACCCAGCTCTGTCCTTGTGTCGGTCTCTTTGTTTACGGCCGAGACGACGGCTGCTCTGTATCTAAGCAGCACTTATCGCTCCGCTGGTGATCAGATTTGGCAGTGTTTCACGCTCCTCTTCACGCTTGTGCCATCCGTGCTGGTGCAGCTCACACTGATCTTTATTCACAGAGACCTGAGCAGAGACAGACCTTTAGTGCTGCTGCTTCATATATTACAACTAGGACCTATAATAAGGTAGGTGGCCAATTTGCGACTGTCCTTCAATGTATTTGGATGCGTTTCTGCTTATCACAAGCCCGTGGAAGGAAATGATCTATCCACGTAATTGATTAAGATATACACAATGTCCACTGTGAGCGAATACACATAATGAAGGTGTGTGTGTTTCGCACGCACATGGATCTGTGCTTTACCTGTTTTCAAATATAATGGATATTTGTCGTTTAATTTATAGTGCACCTGTCATTCCTTGGCTTCAGGGCTCAAGGCTTCATGTCCCCGGGTCGTTCCATAAAATGCATCCATTGAATTTTTGCTAAGGTGATTTTAAATAATATTCTGTGAGCTGTTAACATTCTATCAGACAAAAAATATAATCAATGTTTGGATATGCCTAAGTAACAGTCTTGACCGCTGGGATAATAGTTAATAGTTAGCCTACAGTTTATTATTACCTTTTTGCTCAAGGCCATGACATTGCCCAGTTTATTAGAAACAGAATTTAATGCTAATAATATTACCATATCCAGTTTTCATGAACGAATTATTTACCTTACAAAGTAATGTTAACAGTACTGTAAAAAGAGGCACTTTCACTTGAAGTAGATGATGATGTCATGTTAAATTAGGTAGACAAAAGTGGTAGAGAAATGAACATTCAATTCACGGGCAACAGCTCTGGTGGACATTCCTGCAGTCAGCATGCCAATTGCACGCTCCCTCAAAACTTGCAACATCTGTGGCATTGTGCTGTGTGATAAAACTGCACATTTTAGAGTGGCCTTTTATTGTGGCCAGCCTAAGGCACACCTGTGCAATAATCATGCTGTCTAATCAGCATCTTGATATGCCACACCTGTGAGGTGGATGGATTATCTCGGCAAAGGAGAAGTGCTCACTAACACAGATTTAGACAGATTTGTGAACAATATTTGAGAGAAATAGGCCTTTTGTGTACATAGAAAAAGTCTTAGATCTTTGAGTTCAGCTCATGACAAATGGGGGCAAAAACAAAAGTGTTGCGTTAATAATTTTGTTCAGTATATATTGAGAGAGAGCGAGAAAATACAAAATACTTTTATCAAAATTTGTACAAATTACATTAATGCATGGGGTATATAAAAGGTACCCATGTTGCGAAATGATTGTTTGCAAATTATTTGTAAATGATGTTACTGTAGGGGCTTTTCCTTCTGTGTAATTACACTCCTTTTAAAAGGCACACTTCAAACTGTTATTTGTTTTCCATGTACTATGCCACAAGCCATTTATGGACATTTTGTGGCCTAAAATTATTTATTAGTATAAATATTGGTGTTATTGACAGCTTCACTCCGTGTGTTTTTGCATTGACCATGTGCATAATTGAAGCATTGATATTGCCTTCTCTAATAGTACAGTTTAGCACGTGACCTGGACCAGCTCATTCAGATAAAGCCCAGCAGTGTTTCAGCCCTGTGTGATTCATGCATAATTCAGTTGTTTATTTTACATTTTCAGAATGAGAACGACTTCTTAAATCATCTTAAGGTTTTCTAGAGCATAAGACTTTTAAGTTCCTGCTTTGTTTTCATTTTATCTGGTCCTGTGAAGTACAACTCCCAAAGTGGAGCATTGCAAGCTTTTGAGTTTCACTGTTAAAGTTTTTTCATGTCCCGCATTCTCCACCACACCTGTAGTGTTAAATGTTAGGAAGAACAATTGTTTTTTTTATATCTTTGAGGCAGATTGTTTTCACCCAACCAATATGATTTGGGCAGTCTCTTTTGACATATTCTCCAAGTTTTCTCCATAGAATAATCTCTCCGTAAGTCCTGTAAACATGGAACTGCTGCCTGTGGCACCCTTCTAAATGTAAAAAGCTCCCATCAGTGACACATTCTACACACACACACATGCTTGAGTTACGTCTAATGCCTCTGAAACTACCTCTACTTGTGTTCTATTTCCTCTTGTTATCTCGAGGACGCACACTTTGTTTCTGAGAATATCAGCTAAAATAGTAAGTTTTCAGACCATACATGCAGCCCGCAACAGACAGATTATTAACTGAACCTCAGACAAATTCATTTAATGAAATATCCATACGCACTACACAAACAAAGACACTGAAAATAACTAATTCACATACTCTGCCACTGTATAGGGAGGTCCAACAGTCTGAAACTACAGTGCATTAAAAAAAAAAAAAACTTTATGTATTCAAACCTGGAAATAAAGACGGACTATAAATACTATATACACACACACACAATACTTTTACACACTGCCTATGTTTTACATTACTTTGAGACCAGGAACTAAAAGTTTTAGGATATTACAAAAAAAAAAAAAATATATAAAATAATAAAAACCAACCTTTATTGCCAATGTCGTTAAAATGCACAGGTACACAAAGGTTGAGGATCCAGATGCAGAATCTATTAAAGGGTAGTCCACAAAGTCCAAAAACAGGCAAAGGTGATAACACGGGCAATCAGTCCAAACAATAACAAGAGCAAAAAAACAAAACAAAAAAAAACCCAGGCAAAAGGTTAATCCAAAACAGGCAGCGAAATAAAACCAGGGACCAAGACAAGAGAGAACCAGGAAACGAGGCTTAGAAATGCAGTACTGACACATACAAGACTTAAAGAATAACAGAGAACCAGGCTTTTATAGGGTGAGCTAACAGGGCTAACGAGAGACAGATGCAAACAATGAGCGCTGATGATACTGGGCAAAGGATTATGGGACATAGCTCGTGAGGCAGAAACAGCCTAGGGTGGAATGCCCTGTAGCGGACAACAGGGGTGCAGCCGATGATCATGACATAGCCCCCCTCCTAAGGAGCGGCTTCCAGACGGTCCTCAAAGGGTCAGAGAAGTCCAGAAGGGAGGTGGAGCAGAGAAGGACCAGGGCAGAGCAGAAGACCACCACAGCAGAGAAGGGACCGAAGATCCCCACGGTGGAGCACATGACATGGAGCTGAGGAGTTCAGGAACAGACTTCTTGGCTGTGACAGGGCAGACTGTGAGTTCAAAGACGGTCTCTGTGGCCGTGCCAGGACAGGCTGCAGGTTCTGGAGCGGACACGTGGACTGGAGTGGGCGCCGGTGCGGACGCGTGGACTGGAGCGGGCGCTGGTGCGGACGCGTGGACTGGAGCGGGCGCTGGTGCGGACGCGTGGACTGGAGCGGATGCCGCCGCCTCAGAAGTGCGTATAGCCCAGACACACAAAATGGCTACCACCATTACTGAAAGGGCAGCATAACCTCAGAGATTGCTGGGCTTGAGAGCGCTGAGGCCACCAGGATGCCTGCTGTTTGCACCAGCGAGGCACATGGCGTCACTGGCGTCACTGGCGTGGCGTCCATGACGGCTGAAGACTGGTGTAGCAGCCATCTTACGGAGAGGTTCTGGACTGGTGGCCATCTTGTAGAGAGGCTCACTCCCTCACGATCGTCAGTATAGGGCATGCTGGAATCCACAGTCGTATCATGCTCCTTGGCCACCAGAGCTTGCTGCCTGTTAACACACAAGATTTAACAAAAAATAACCGAGAGAGCCGGCTTTTATAGGGTGAGCTAACAAGGCGTCCATGACGGCTGAAGACTGGTGTAGCAGCCATCTTACGGAGAGGTTCTGGACTGGTGGCCATCTTGTAGAGAGGCTCACTCCCTCACGATCCTCAGTATAGGGCATGCTGGAATCCACAGTCGTATCATGCTCCTTGGCCACCAGAGCTTGCTGCCTGTTAACACACAAGATTTAACAAAAAATAACCGAGAGAGCCGGCTTTTATAGGGTGAGCTAACAATGCTAACAAGACACAGGTGCAAACAATGAGTGCTGATGAGACTGGGCAAAGGATTATGGGACATGTAATTTGTGAGGCAGAAACAGTCTGGGCTGGAATGCCCTCTAGTGGACAACCGGGGCACAGCCGATGATCATGACAGCCAATATATAGTGTTTTATTATTATTAGTATTAGTATTATTATTTGTAAACCTGGAACTAAACAAAAAGCCTTAGCATTTCTTGTCAAAATAACTAATAAAAAACATACAGTGTCTTTTAAACCTGGAAGTGAAGTTTTAGGATTTTAGCATTTTAGCACCAATCAACTGTCACCCATCTACACTGAATATTAAGAATGATAGAACGAACTCCAGTCTGGGCTGGAATGCCCTCTAGTGGACAACCGGGGCACAGCCGATGATCATGACAGCCAATATATAGTGTTTTATTATTATTATTATTATTAGTATTATTATTTGTAAACCTGGAACTAAACAAAAAGCCTTAGCATTTCTTGTCAAAATAACTAATAAAAAACATACAGTGTCTTTTAAACCTGGAAGTGAAGTTTTAGGATTTTAGCATTTTAGCACCAATCAACTGTCACCCATCTACACTGAATATTAAGAATGATAGAACGAACTCTGCCTCGCAGATATGTAGTCATCCGCTCTGCATGAGGAATGTGTTGACAACCTTGCAGTCTATCCTTGAAAGCAGTATTGCAGATGGAAGATCATAATGGACGGTAAATCAGTCTGACCCCATTACCCATAAGGCATAGAGTAAAGAAACGGTGACTGACTTTAGATCAGATGAAAGGCTGATAGAGGCCATATGTTTGCACTACTGGTGGATTTGGGCCTTCGGGGTATCTGCTTTTTTTTTATCCTTTATTACTAACAATAGTAAACAACATAGTAAATTATGTAACTGAATGGCAACATGTTGAGCACCAGAGTAATGGAGGCCCTAAACCAAATAAAAATAATAATAAATAAATGACTTATAATTTTTTATTGACTTTAGTCCTGAATTTATTTTTAACACTTTTTTTCCTTGGTGTTATTTTCAGTGTTTTATTTAACTTTGTTTTTTTTCTGTCATTAATTTTTACATTTATTTATATATTTATTTTTGCATTTTTATATTTTTATTTTCTGAGCGCAACTTGGAAATGAGAGAGATATGAAGTCATTTCTCGGTATCAAAAAACAAATTCTGCATGTTTAGGGCTCCACACACAGTAGAGTGGTTTATTCCAAATCCACTTATCTAATGCAAAAGCTTTCAGTTGCTTTTTACCACAAAGTATGTTTGTATTGGATTTAATGTGATCATGTTTCACTCTTTTTGCTCTCTGCCAGGTACACTGATGGTCATTTCCCTTCTCTCAATTGTATACGGAGCCCTACGCTGCAATATTCTCGCCATAAAGATACGTTATGATGATTATGAAGTATCCGTGCGTCCACTGGCATACCTGTGTGTGTTTCTGTGGCGAGGGTTCGAGATTGCCACACGTGTGGCTGTTCTGGTCCTCTTCAGCTCCGTGATGAAGGTATGGGTGCTTCCGGTGGTGTCGGCCAACTTCGTCCTGTTCTTTCTGCACCCGTGGGTTCTCTTCTGGAGCAGCTGCTCTCCATTCCCAGAGAACATCGAGAAGACATTGACCCGTGTCGGGACCACTATTGTCCTCTGCATGCTGACCTTCCTGTACGCCGGCATCAATGTGTTCTGCTGGTCTGCCGTTCAGCTCAGATTGGACGACCCTGACCTGATTGATAAGGGTCAGGCATGGAGGCGCCTCGCTGTGTATTATTCCCTTCGTTTTGTCGAGAACACAGGGCTGACTTTGATGTGGTATGTCCACCGGACTGAGTTCTACCAATGGGTGGATGCCCCCGTGTTAGAACTATCGCTGTTGTTGGGTTATGCCACAGCTGTGTTCTTTATGTTGCTCTTTTACCAGTTTTGCCACCCTTGCAGGCAACTCTTCTCATCCAGTCCAGCCCAGGGCTTTTGGGAGTGCTGTGGATCCCTCTGCCTGCTCCGTGGGACGTTTTCCCAGTCTGGCTCCATGAGGACCAAGCCACCAGGGAAAGACGTTGGAGACGATCCACCCTGCGCTACCAAAGGGGACATTGGGCAGAGTTTGTGCGGCGCAGTGTGAGCAAAGCACATCTTGAAGTTTTTTTGTACAACGAAAGTTAACGGGGTCTGATGCTGATTTGGACCTCACTGATATTCATTGCATGGACAAAAACAGCTCTCTTATATGAAATATTTTCTCTTGCGGATTTCTGCCTTGATACTTGATGGTGGAATGTAAAAGTCAACATTTGTTGAACTTTGAGATGAATATACTTATACTTGTTTTGTTTACAAGGCCTACGAGCCAGCATGTTCCACTGAAGTGCATGTGAAATTCCCTAACAAGATGAAACCGTTGCTTTTGTCATGTGATGTGGGAGCGCTTTGTCCCTCGTTCGGTGTTGGTTTGATTAATGTCATAGCTTCTACGCTGTCTCTGTATCTAGATTATTTAAAGCAGATGTATTCAAAAAAAATGATTTGCTTGAGTTATAAGCTGTTGATTTTTCCATCACCTTGAGGCCATTGCTTTCTGAAAAATGTTTGACAACCTCTCAGGGTCATCATTAATACTTCTATTCTTATTGCTCTGCTCATACTGCGTATAAAAGACTGAAATTAGTCCTGATTGGTCATATGATTGTGTCCTATCATATGATTACATATGGCCTAAATTCAAGAAATTCAGAATTGCTTTCAAAATGTAAGGACTTTTGGATTGTGAGAATTACATTTGGGTTGCCAGGACCTTCATAATCCTGCAAAGAATGATTTAATTTATTGTTTTTTCTTTCCTTGTTTACACTCCTGTTTTGCACTTGCCTTATCTGGGGACCTCTTTTGCACATTATTCAGATTTTTCATACAAAAAGTAAAAAAAAAAAAGCCATTATTTTCATTGAGGGCAATAGATGATTGTATTCTAACTTTACTGCCCCCCTGTGGGGAGATGAATGGTTTGAGTTTATTCATTCTGCAAGACTTTGTGATCAGGTTACATCTGGAAACTCCCTCAAAACTTGTCCTTCAGAGCGCTTCACTGCTTTTGATATGTGCAACTGTCAGCTAAACCCATAAAAAATAATAATGATAATAATAAAGGAGTGATATTTTGTGCATGGAAGTACACATAGTTTATTGATTTTCTCTTTTGCAGTTTTCCTTGTTATTTATTTAGAAACATTTATTTTTGTATTTATGTCTATGTGTGAGGTCAGTTGTCACTTTTTGTAATTGTTTTCTGATAACTTAATCTAAAACCCATTTACAGTTATAAATGTTCAAGAGAAAGATTGCAACAAATGCAGGAAAATTATTTAAATCATATAACCATATCAGTTTTGACACTACAACAACTAACATCTTTACTAAAAACTAAATGACAGGCTTGACTATAAAGCAGGAAGAGAACTGAGCGATCATCTGACCATCCCCTTCAGGTTGAGGAGCTTTGCTTGATATTTTCTCATGGGCTCACAGTTGTGACAATATTTCCTGATTTGCTTCTCTGCTTTATATACCATATCCCCTTTTGTCTTGTGGCTTTCTTCAAAATCTTTCATCCTCACTTCACTTGATCTTCTCTTTCTACACAGCTCAACATCATGGGAAACTTTGCTGCAAATGAAGGACTATCCATTTTTGTTATTGTAAGCTATGCTTTTAGGTTTGGTTTTTTAAACTGAATTAACTTTTTAAATCTTTATTATCTTTGGGTTTTAAAGTTCTTGATTGTTTTCAATTACTTTGTGTGTGTGTGTGTGTGTGTGTGTGTGTGGGTGATCTGTTTTTTTTTTTTTTTTTCAATTTTCAAAATCTTTCCCCAAAACCCTAAAATCTCGACTAAATGTCCTGCATACACTCTCAGAAAAAAGGCACAAAATTGTCACCGGGGCAGCACCATTTCAAAAGATAATAATATGTACTTTTATATTACTCAAATGTACCTTTTGTGGGATATACAAGGTACAAATAAGTGCCTTGTTCCACCTCAGTGACAGCTTTTTTTTTCTGAGAGTATTTTTGATATTTATGGATAAATTACTGTAAACCTTGCATATTCTTCCAGCCATCCACATCATAGCTCACTTGTTCAACTTTGAGAGATTCATGGATTCCCAGCTTATGATCAACAGCAGTTACCTGCCTTACGTGCTTTCTCAGATGGGCAACAATGACAATAAATCCTACCTGAATCCTATCAGAACCAATGAGACGGTGAGTCTTTCCAGACAGGTTTTGCAAAGTTTTAACTCATTTCAGTCACTCACGTTTGTGTATAACTTTCACAGTCTCAGTGTTAGCAGAAGTTCCCTTTAAAACACTGATTCTGAAGCAACACCCCATTCATAATGCAAGGAACCTCCAACTGATCTCCCTTCAGCACCGTAGGATAACCTCCCACTTCCACCCACTGTTACATCAAATAACCATCATGCTGCTGCCGCTGTTATGATCACATGATTTAAAAATTTCTGTTGCCATGGTATTGCTTTGATGACCCAGTGGACAATAGCCAGAAATAGAACATTGAGGGGATGAGAAGCCCATGATCATAACAAAACATGTATAGTGCCATGTTGAAATACAATCGATACACACTTCCTATGACTGATATAAAAAAGATCTACTGTATTCATAACTGCTATTGAGAGCAGCTATGACATATTTGAACAATTTTGTGGGCTTAGGGCAAAATAAATAAATTCATAAATAACATAAAATTAAATAAATGATGCCTATTTTACAACTACGCATTATCTCTATATACACTACCGTTCAAAAGTTTTTACCATTTAAAATAATTGTTTTCTATTTTAATATACTTTCAAATGTAATTTAATCCTGTGATGGCAACGCTCAATTTTCAGCAGTCATTATTCCAGTCTTTAGTGTCCCATGATCCTTCAGAAATCATAATAATATGCTGATTTGGTGCTCAAGAAACATCTATTATTAGCAATTGTGAAAATTGTGATAGTTTTTTTTTCAGGATCCAGCTCAAAATAACAGTTTATTTGAAATAGAAATATTTTGCAGAATTATAAATGGTCACTTTTAAATAATTTAATATGTCCTTGCTGAATAAAAAGTATTAATTTAAAAGAAACTTGCTGACCCAAAACATTTGAATGGTAGTGTAATGGTAGTCTGAAATTGCACTATTTTGATTTTTGCAAACTACTTTATCTTTGTTTCTTTTTAATGTAATGATGTGTTTAATGTAAAACATTTTGAGTAATGTTTTATGTTGTCATTTTTGTATTTGTGATTTCCCAGAACCCAACCATAGTGATGTTTACTAATACTGCTTTTGTGGTCCAGGGTCACATATTAGAATTTTTTTTTTGTAAATATATATAGTTTATTATAAAGATCTATTGTTTATTACAAATGCACTGAATATAATGCACAAGAACATATTTCAATGGCTGACATGACATTTTAAGCAGTTTTAGTGGTGTCCTGCAGTATTCTATATACAAACCCAATTCCAAAAATGTTGGGACACTGTACAAATTGAAGCTTCCACATTACATTGTTTTTATTCACAATTTGTACAGTGTCCCAACTTTTTTGGAATCGGGTTTGTGTATATATATATATATACACTTTTTTTTTTTTTTTTTTTTTTTTTTTTTTGAATGCTTGTTTCTTCCATGGGATAAAAAAAAAAAGGTAATTGACTTTTTATTTCACAATTTGGACTTTTTTTTCCCCCCCACAATGCAGAGTTTGTCTCACAATTCTGAATTTTTTTTTCTTAGAATTGCAATTCTTACAAAAATCGGGGAAAAAAAGGACTAAATTCTGTAATATAAACTCAGAACTGCGAGGAAAACAAGTCCAAATTGTAAGATTTGTAACTGTCACAATTACCATTTTTGTTTCCATAATTTTTTTAATAAAACTACATGGAATATTTGAACCGTTAAAAATCAATTGCCACAGTGAATCAAAATGATAAAATTAAGCGAAACGTTTTAAAAATAAATGTAATTTTATACAAATTTCAATAAAAATATGCGAATACTTACTAATTAAATGACATTTAAAAATAACTAATAGAAAACAAATAGACGCAAAATAATGCATTTTACACATAAAACTAATATGCAATGCATCTATTTAAACTATTTGTCAGACAAATATCAATTAAGTTAGAAGACCAATGTGTCAATGTGGCTGAGCTAAAACGATGAAAACACAAAGCAGTTATATAGAACTAAAAGCTTTACCATCAGTGGTAGTGTCCCAGTAACAAGAGTTGGCTGTGTGAAGACCTGCGCCGCTTTTCTGCATCACAGCACAGTTGACTGAAATTGATACATAATATATAACAACAGCACTTTGCATAATATCTTTCAGCCTTGTGCAAATATGATGTATACATTTTGTCTTATAAATACATTATCTGATGTTTAACCTATGAGATATTTGCATACAAGAACTCCTCAAATGGAAAAGCTCATACCAATGTACTTGAACGGTTTCCCCTGTTTGACTAACTGAGTGAGAGTGTGTTCGACTATGCTGGCTGTCCACTGGTTGACTTTGTTCTGGCTGTAGTCCACACCTCCAATAATACCCTCAATGCACTGACCGATAAACAGACAAACACACACACACACACACACACACACACAGAGAGAGAGAGAGAGAGAGAGAGAGTTAATGGAGCAGACTTGCACTCAAATAAATAGGCTAGCATTAGTCCTGCAGGCATGAGTTAGACATGAGACTAACAACAAAGCAATTCATTCAGCGAGGCACACCATAGACCTTATAGGGTTTTTAATGTTTTTATAAGCGTGTGTTTGGTTTTATAGTGAATATTACCTCCTTCACAACATTACTTGCTTCGTCTGGGCTGAAAGACACCTGAAATGAAAGGTTTTGAAAGATGAAAAGAAATGAACCAGCTGTCAGATGGGTTTAATAATGCATCAACACCCGCATCCATTAGATTTACTGATCAAAATGTACATTTTAGACATGCAAGTCAGCAAAAAAAAAAAAAACTCGAAATACTTTTAAATAAATAAAAAAAATGTTGATACTCAATTCCGTTTGCTTTATGATTCAAGTTTGCGTTATGATTTGGCCACACCCTGAATCATTTAACATGAAAACGTACTACACAATAATGTAAAAAATTACTCACAATGAACTTTAGTCATCTATATATGTGTAAAAGATGTAAAGACGTGAAAATATGTAGGTTTGTGGATGATGAAGTATTATGTTCCTGTCCTGGTGAAGCGGTTAGCAAGCTAGCATTGAATGCCAGTCTACGGTTTAGTTTTGAAACGAGTTAGACAGATAATAACCGGTTACACCATGTCATGCCTTATATAACACCTACTTCATCTCCAGAATGAAACTCCTCCATCTTTTTAGCTTGAAAAACAAAATTCTGGACAACAAACTCAGTTCAGATGACTGTAGCTCTTCTCTCATTGACAACTAAAGGCTGATGTTGGCAACACAATGACGATTGAGTGCTGCCACCTAGTGGCGCTCCTCCCAATCACCATCACTACAGATTTAAAGAGGTCATATGATGCGATTTCAAGTTTTCCTTTCTCTTTGGAGTGTTACAAGCTGATTGTACATAGATAAGATCCCTGAAGTTGCAAAGACTAAAGTCTCAAAACCAAAGAGATATTCTTTATCAAAGTTAATACTCTGCCACGTGGAGTCAGCTGTCTTACCCGTGGCTTGTGTACTGCAAACACATACCAGCTTCATCACTGTGTCTGTCACGCGACTCTGTTCCCCTTTCAGGCTCTGTCTTTACATTTATTTTGAAAGATGAAGCTCGATTATGGTAAGGGGCGTTACATTTCCGACGAGTGCTTGCGGTGTTCGGCCAATCACAATGCACTGGGTCAGCTGGCCAATCAGAGCAGACTGCGCTTGTCGGAAGGAGGGACTTTGTGAAGCGTTTGAGAGAAGCGGGGCATAGAGGACCAACAATAATGTACAGTATTTGAAAAATAATGTGATTTTTGAACATTAAAGCATGTCAACATATTCTGTTACACCAAATACACCAAATAATGATCTTTAAGAAAAGCATCATATGACCCTTTAAAGTTTGTGATCGGTTTCTTTTTAATTTAAACTACAAAAGTAATCTATCTACATAGATAGAATTGTATCTATCTATCTATCTATCTGAAAGAAAAAAGAAAGAAAATGACAATTTTGAGTTGTTTACTTGTATCATGTCAGGTTGTGAGATGATTCTTACAAAAATGCCATTGACAAAAAATGATCACTTAACCCCGAAACAATACAAGATTTTTAATATATAAAGTGCACAGGTGCTTATTCAAATTTAAATAAATAGATATAAAAACATACATACATATATAATTGTATTTGTTTCTAGATATACAGCACATATTGTTAAATTTACTCCCAAGTAATGACTTTGAGAATGTATTTGATAAAAAAAGTTATACAAATTAGACACTGCAAACATACAGTACAAAGGGGAAACATTATACAATGTAGTACCAAAACAAAACCATTATGGCTCACAGCTATACTTAAATGAATCTCCCAAACTCAGTTTTGTTTAAGCTAAGTTATTTTCTGTGGTCTGCTTTGCAGCACAAGGCACAGTACCATTAACACCACCAACACCAACAGGATGATGCTTTGTTAAACTGCTGATTCTGCTAATTCCAGCAGTTTTTGTTACGGTCCCAAGTCAGAAGATAACTTCAACCCAGCTGAAAAGTGTCAAAGCAGATTGCAAGTGGCTGAACGTGATCGACTGGATGCTGTGGTCTGGCCTCCGATCTGCATTGCACTGCTAGAACTCTCTGAGATTTGAGGGGGGCCGTCAGCTGCTGGTTTGCCTGATGTGGACATCTCTGCCTGATTGCCTTTGGTGGAAGATCTCTTGAAAAGAGAAATCTGAAAAAGCCAGGTAGGAAAGAGGTCAAACAATGGGCAACGTTAATATTAGCTGGCTGCTATGACGGTTGCTAGGGTGTTATGCACGGTTGTGGGTGCTTACTGGTGTTTATTATAAAGATTAAAAGGTTTGAGTGGTTAAATACCCTGTTCCTGGAGACAGTAAGAGTCTTTGGCTTGTCTTCTGTAACTCCATTCATCTCTGTCTGTGTTTCCTCTTTTATAAGGGTAGCAGGATCAGAATCTTCAGAATTTACAGCAACAAAAAATAGAAATAGAAAAAGCTGCTTATAATCAATTTGCATTACATTTATATTCTTAGAAGATATATATATAATATATAAAGGTCATTGCGTGTTTTATCTCATAATTCTCTTTTTCTTGCAACTTTGAATTATAAACTAGCAATCCTCACTTTTTGTCTCAGTTTACATCTAACAATTCTGACTTTTTTCTCAGAAATGTGTCTAGAAAAAAACTAAGAATTGTGAGATTTTAACTTAGAATTCTGAGGGAAAGAAAGTCTCAGTTGTGAGAAAAAAAGTCACAATTACCTATTTTTTATTGTTATTCCATGGCGAAAATTAAATTCTGTATATACTGTAGATGCCCTCAAAGCTAACAAACAGACTAAAAGCCACAAAACCCTTTTTTTGGGGACTATGGGAATAGAAGAATAAAAGAATGCTGAAAAGCAAAAACACTAACCTTTCTTTGGTCCATCGGGAACAGATTCTTCTCTTATAATCTGCTTTTTCTGTAGGAGTAAGAAACTATCATCACAAACAAATCACAGCAATACTGCAGTTGTTTACTGACGTGATGCTAAATCATTAAGTTCATACTAAATTAGTCTAAATGGCATGAATGAAAGGTTTCAGGGCACCTGTACGTCTGACTCTGTAATGCTTTGCTCCTGCTTCTCCGTCTCTTTTCTCTTCTCATCTAGAATATCTTCCTTCTCATCACACTCTTCACCCTCTTCTTCCTCTGGATGCTCTTCCTCATCTTCTTCGTCTTCCTCCTCTTCTTCCTCATCATCTAAACATTCTTCCTCCTCATCATCTTCTCCTTCTACTTTTCCATTCATCTCATCTGTCCGGAGCTGGAGAGATGGATGGTGGCCGTGCAAAAAGTAAGAAATGACACAATCAGTGACTGTGAAACACGAAAAGAGGGCTAAAGGCACTAGAATGGCAGGAGAGAGGGTTCATGTGAGTTGAGTAGTCTTTGTAAAATTAAAACTAACTAATAAACTACATGTATAAACACACGCAAGTAAGTAGGTACATGAACTAGGGCTCTATTTAGGAGGAATAGCTCTACAGAGACAGTGTAAAATGAGGGCAGCCTCACCTGTCCAATGAAGGATTTTCAGTACTCTGATTGCAACGGCTTTGCAAGTTGGCGATATGTCATATGGCTTTCTTTATTTGCATATTTACAATTCAAATGAAAATTTGCTTTGTACATATATCATATTCTGAAATGTTCTGGTACTGCATGAAATGCTCAGGTACTGCATGATTGCTTTCACTAAACAGTCATGTAGTATGTATTTTTATAAAGTCCCTGGATAATCTGTGCTTTTGAAAATAAAAAAACAACACATAGGTATTCATTTAAAAACTGATGCAAATAGTTGAATTAAATGAAAAGTTTTATTGGTTATTATATGTAAAAACAAATTTGTAAAAAAGTTCACAGAACAAGCACAAGAGCAACATTTTAACTAAATGATATTTAATGACTAACTTTGGGCTCAATTTACCTGTATTTTTCCAATTATTTTCTTCCAGTCATAAAGATTATGAGCTGCCATTTTATTTGACATTTTAATGTGGTTAGGCATCTGACTTAAAGGCATCTTTAAATTCTTAAAAATACTAAATTGGTAATAATTTTGCATTTTTAAGAATTTAAAGTCATTGATAGGGTTGATTCAAGGTCACTGGCAAATCAAGCACATTTGTTAGTAAACGAACATGGCTGTCCAAGGCACATGATGAGGTCTTCACTACTGCGTGGGTGTACAAGTACTTATTAAAACATAATTTTGTAAAATAAATAAAATAAAAAATGTGAATCAGTACATTAGGTAAGATTGCCATGAGTGAAATTGCAAGAATAATAATGGTGAAATAACAAAAAGAAATGTAAAATAAACATCAAAAAAGGAAAAAGCAAGAAAGAACATAAAAGGCAAGTATGAAATGGCAAGCTTATAATCTCAGGGAAGAGCAGAGAGAGCTTGAGGTTGCTGATTTATTTTAGATTGAGGTACTGAGGTAGAACATCATCCCAAAACTGCTTAGGCTCATGGGACTCATCATCTGACTGATCGTCTTGTGCTCGAGCCCGTTTGGCTTTTGATGGCTGTTTTGATGTTTTCACACTTGACTTTGGTTTGGTGGATTCAGAGGCTTTTTCAAGTTTTCTTTTGGCCTTTTTTTCCTCCTCCTCCTCCTCCTCTTCTTGTTCCTCTTCCTCCTCTTTGCCCTCTTCTTTTTGATTGTCTTCCTCTTCTCCCTCCTCATCCTCTGCTTCTTCTGTCTCTTCTCTTTCTTCAGACTCTTCCTCTGCCTCTTTATCTTCTTCCTCTTTGTCTTTACTGTCCTGTTCGTTTTCATTCTCTTCTTCTTCTTCTTCATCATTCTCACTCATTGCTTCATCTTCGCCACTTTCCCATTCCTCCTCATCCTCTTTATCTCCCTCGCTCTCCTCTTTATCTTCCTCACTTTCCTCATTCTCTTCTTTATCTTCCTCACTTTCCTCATTCTCCTCATCTTCCTCACTTTCCTCATTCTCTTCTTCATCTTCCTCACTTTCCCCATTCTCCTCTTTATCTTCCTCACTTTCCTCCTTCTCTGCTTCACTTTCACTCTCCTCTTCTTCTTCATCATCTTCAGTCTCACTCTCCTGCTTTTCTGAATCTTCCTCCTCTTCTTTGCTAGTCTCTTCACCGTCTTCATCCTCCTCTGCCTCAGTGTCACCTTCCACTTCACTTTCTTCCTCATGCTCACTATCTTTCTCCTCTGACTCCTCATCCTCTTCTTCTTCATCTGACTCTTCCTCTGATCTGTCACTTCTGCTCTCTATCTTTCCCTCTGATTCTTCTCCACTCTCCTCCTCTTCACTTGTTTTACTTTCATCCTCATCTTCTCCACTCTCCTCCTCTTCAATTGTTTTACTTTCATCCTCATCTTCTCCACTCTCCTCCTCTTCACTTGTTTTACTTTCATCCTTATCTTCTCCACTCGCCTCCTCTTCACTTGTTTTGCTTTCATCCTCATCTTCTCCACTCTCTTCCTCACTTTTTCTACTTATCTCACTTGTTTCTTCTTCCTCATCTTCTATTCCATGACTTTCCGCTTCCTCCGCCTCACTCGCTACATCCTCAGTTGCTTCACTTTTACTTTTCTCCTCCTCTTCCTCACTTTCCTCATCCTCACTAGAAGCTTTAATCGTTGTATCATCATCAACCTCATTATCATTTGCTAGGGTCTTGCTTTCACTTTCCTCTTCTTGGTCATCCACTTCCTCACGCTCATCCCTCCTGTTCACCAATCCCTCGCTTTCCCCCTCTTCCTCCTCATCTGATTCCTCTCCTCCTTCCTCCTCACTTCTTCTATATGTTCCCACCACAGAATGAACATCGGTTTTGGACTCAGAGCTGGTACATTCCAAGTTCCCATCTGAAGTTTCTGGTTCTGCCTTAACGTTGATGGTGACGGCTGTCCTCTTGGCCTCTCTTGTCTTCTCTTGTCCTGAAACCTCAAAAGATTCACTCAGGGACGAAACATCAGATAGAGTTCTCTGTTTTGAAGGAGGTTTTGGCATCTTTTGGAGTGTGGACTGGGAAAGGAACTGACTGACTGCTGTTTCTCCAAGTAAACGAGCAGGACTTTCCATTCCCACATCTTGGAGAAAAGATGTCACCTTGGTGAGAGGATTTTCCTTCATTTGCTCAGATTCTGACACCGATTCTGATTTGAAGGCAGCTTCTGAGACAATGGTAGGGCCCTTTTTTGCGTCCTCTACTAGCAATTGGCTTTGTTCTGCTTTTGATTTCTTAGTCTTTTTTGTAGAAATGTCTTCTTGGCAAGAGGAAAGTGAAGTAGTGGAGATCTCTTGAGTTGTCTTTTTACTTTTTGAGTCTTTTTTTGAATCTGACCTTTTGCTCTGTGGGACAAAACTTTTGTTTTCTGTCTTAGCAGCATTAATTTCAGCTTTCAGCCTCTGAGCTTTTGGTAAAATCTCTTTTGAGATCTTCTTACCTGTTGGCTCTTGGTCCTTATGCATGGTCTGTTCAAGATATTGCTCAACAACAATTATGGGTTTAATTTTTACTTCTTTTTCTTTCCCCACAACCTTTTGAGACTGGCTACTGACTTCCAATGGACTATCTTTGGGTTTTGTTTTACCTTCTTGGTTTGGTTTTGTACTTCCTTTTGATTTGTGAGCAACCTTCTTGCTTTCAGCCTCTACCTTTGAATGTTCCTTCTCAAGCATCTGTACTTTATTCCCAGCGTCTTTCCCTGTGACTCTATCCCTTGACTTTATCAGCTGTTTGTGTTTGGGCTGGAAGGATTTGGATCCAGCTCTGCTTATGTCTGTCCCCATTCTGATATTACTTCTAGCAGCTTGGTGATGTGCAGGCCTTCTGTCCTCCAAAGCAATAAGTACATTTTCCTTATCCTGACCATGTCTCTTAGGGCTCTTGTGGGGGGTCCCTGACCCAAGACTGTCCCCGACTACCAAGCTACCACTTGAGCTTCTAAGTAACTCAGTCGGAAGAGCTTTGCGAGCTAAAAGCTCTGCCCTCTTTCTATAAAGGGCAGGGTCATCTCTTGGCTTCCCCTTCTCCTTACCGTGCTCTTTCACAATCTTAACTTTCTTCTATCCCAGGAAGCAGAGGATAAAAAGAGGGAAAGTGTTAGAGAAACGAATGACCATGCAGAGCAGGCTGAATGAGAGCAGAATGAGCTTTAAAGCTGCAAAGCAAATGAGAAGAATGAGTCAATGAAGCAAAGAGAGAGAAAACGTAAGCAGAGATCTAAAAGAGTGCAGCCCATGAAATAAAAAATTTTTTTTTTTGCACCTCAACCTCTGTTTGACCATCTAAATTTCTTGAACAACAACCCAGGTGAGCTCTTACCTTCTCCATAGGAGACAATGTGAGGGTCTTATCGCTAGGGTCCATCTTCATTATGTGGGTCTGAAATCAAAGAAACTTTAGCTTTGTCTTTTATATTAGTGGTTCTAAACGTTTTTTTTTTCCCTACACAACCCAGATTTTACATCAAATGGCAACCCAAAACCCGAACTAAATGAAATCTTTATGTAATGTAGTCTGCATCATTTACTTCTTCCTTTTAATTTTGTTTTTCTATCCTAATTATTCATGATTTACACACTTAGTTGAATTTGCATTTAGCATTGCTTTTCCCCTTTTTTTCCCCATGACCCCTGTCAAAATGGACTTCACCGGTTGTGAACACTGTGTTACTGTGCCACACTGTTTTATTCTATGTTTAAAACTGGCAGTGATTTCTAATTAAAAAATGACAATAAACCAAATCATGAAATGTCTAATTCTACGTATTTTCTATATATATATTATAAAAGCATGCGTGCCTCTTTAATGCTTCTCCTACCAGGTTTAATAAGTCAGTAGTTTCTCCGAGGTCTTTTAAACTCTCGCTATCCTTCACACTGCTTCTGTCATCGAGGGACTTCTCTCTCCTTCCAGGAACTAATTGAGAGAGAGAAGACATAAAAACCTGAGCAAGACTCAGCAGTTTACACTACTATTCAAACGTTTAGGGTCAGTAGTTTTTTTTTTTTGTTGTTGAAAGTAGTCTGCATTTCCTTAATTAAATTTATAGTAAAAACAGTAACATTGTGAAATACTGTTACAATTTTAAATAGCATTTTTCTAATTTTCAGCAGCCATTACTCCAGGCTTATCCATTTTAATATGCTGGTTTGGTGCTCAAGAAACATATCTTATTATTATCAATGTTAAAAACAGTTGGGCTGCTTAATATTTTTGTGAAAACTGTGATACATTTTTGGATACTTTCAATAGAAAGTTCAAAAGAACAGCATTTATTTGAAATAGAAATCTTTTGTAACAACAATTTTTGTCTGTGACTTTTTATAAATTTAATGTGTCCTGATGAATGCTGAATAAAAAAATCATACTGACCCCAAACTAATAAACAGCAGTGTAAATTAATATAAATTTGTGCATTTTGAATAAATAATATATTTTTAAAAGTGACAATTGCATTTGTGAATAAAGAACTTGTTTTCCTGTTATTTGAAACCACAGATATGCCTTTAAATACAGATTTTTTTTAAGGCTATTACTTTTGAGGCTGTTGTGAGGGATCTTTCCTGGTTGTTTCCTATGGGAGTGATGGATCTGGCTGGGAACAGATAAAGATGCACTCAGCTGATTTCCGCCCAGGGCTGGAAGTGTTCGAAACATCTGTCCAAATTGATCTGGTGAACGCTCCTGCAGAGGAAAAGCAAGTCATTTATGATTCCATAATTAACTCATTTATATGACTGTTTAGGTAACATTATATTATATTAAACATTACCACAAAGACTTATTATTCATCTTGAAATACACTGCAACTAGTCCAACTGATAATCGGTTGCACTAATTTTGACCCATCCGGATTTACCCACCCGTTCTCTGCGTCTGACCCGAGCCGAGAGACTCCTGTTCAGGGTGGTCTGACTGTGTGTGTCCCCCAGTAATTCAGTATAGGACTTCTCAAAGTAGTCTTCTGTGACATCATCCTCCTCTAAGATCAAATCCTTAGACCCTTCGGGCCTAGGTTTTGCTAACACAAGCATGTGACACCCACCACAAGTAACCTGAAAAACACACACACTGTTTGCAGATGCCATGAAATCAAAATAGGAGTTTTGTGGCTTATATTGATCCACGTCACAACACATCTACATTAACATTCAAAAGTTTGGATTTTTTTTTTAATGTTTTTGAAAGAGGCCTCTTATGTTCACCAAGGCTGCATTTATTTGATAAAAAAAACATTAAAAATGGTAATACTGTAAAATATTACTACAAATTAAAATAACTATTTGTAAATATATTAAAACGCAATTTATTCCTGTGATGGTAATGCTGATTTTTCAGCAGTCATTACTCCAGTCTTTAGTGTCATGATCCTTCAGAAATAATTATAATATGCTGATTAGATGATCACATAACCTTTCTTTTTATTATCAGTGTTAAAAACAGTTGTACTGCTTAATTTTTTTGCAGAAACCGTTATATATTTTTACAGTATTTTTTGAAGAAAAGAAAGTTCAAAAGAACAGCATTCACTTAAAAACAGAAATCGTTAGTAACATTATATGACTTTACTGTAATTTTTCATCAATTTAATGTGTCCTTGCTGAATAGAAGTATTAAATTCTTAAAGGGGTCATATGATGTTGCTAAAAAGAACATCATTTTGTGTATTTGGTGATAAATAATGTTTATGCGGTTTAAGGTTAAAAAAACACATTATTTTCCACATACTGTACATTATTGTTTCTCCTCTATGCCCCGCCTTTCTGAAATGCGTCTATTTTTACAAAGCTCATCGGTCTGAAAAGCGAGGTGTGCTCTGATTGGCCAGCTATCCAGTGCATTGTGATTGGCCGAATACCTCAAGCGTGTGATGGAAATGTTACGCCCCTTACCATATTGTGATGATGCCCTGTCAGGCCGGAGCATAACATAAAACCATGTCTGCATTTGTGATCGGAGAAATGACAAACAACAAGTGCTACTCTACACTGTTCAAAACTCGCATTTGAATCATCAGTGGCAAATTCTTTCAATATAAAAAAAACGTACTTACAGTCTGTGAGTCAGAACAGCCGGCATTGTAGTCTACTCTACCAGGATAAAGCTCATTCTGATCAGGAAACAGTTCTCATCCTCCATAAAATGCACTGGACACATGGGAATATTTGGGTTGAACTGTTCTGGAACAGTGTTGTAAATACAACTTAACCACTGATTTCTAGTCGTGTCCTCTTTTGGAAGGCCAAACAAAGTAGTTTCCCTTTCACAACGAAACACAGTGTCTCCACGGCATGGCGGCGGCGGCAACAATACTACAGCAAGAATAAAGTTATGCCTTCTTTCTTTGCGTGAACATTTGGGCGGTGTTATGCAAATCTTCCCACATAGTGAGGTAGACATGTGGGGGCGTGTTAGAACGAGCCGTTTTAGGTAGGTGTGGTTGACTCTTAACTTTTATAAAGAATTTTTCTTTGGATTTGAGACTTTGCAACTTTACAGATCTTCTTTATGCACCAAGTGCTTGTAACACTCCAAAGAGAAAGGAAAAATTGAAATCGCATCATATGACCACTTTAAAAATCTTACTGACCTCAAACTTTTGAATAATTTTTTCAATCTTTCTCAGCTGGATGTGGAAATATTCATGCAAGTTTGTGCAGTAAATTAAAATCATCTTTTTGAGAAATTAATGAGAAATTCAACAAGAGAATTAAATAAAAAGAGCTCTACTTTCGGTATCAAAAGGAATTAAGTCAACAGGGATATGAAAATAGTATTTGTCAAACCATTTCACGGTTTTAAAGCAGAAAAAGGATACATCTGAGAGAAATCAAATGTATGTTGTGTCATAAAAGGTAGATAGGTGGTAATACGTACAGAATGTACATAATGATCTAGGAATCTTGGACACAGGGTTGGTTTGAACTGGTTGGTGAAGTTCTCTTCTCCCAGCCCCAGCTTTCCATGTCGACCATCACCAAAGGTGTACAAAAGGCCACTGTCTGAAACCAGCACATCAGATTTTATATACACAAGCAAAACCAGTATATATTTTAGAGGAAATTATATCATGTCAAATGTATCAGAGTAGATAAATGTAGGTGGCTTTCAGTACATGCTTACCAGTAATCAGCGCTGTATGGTTCTCTCCACACTCAACATGCTTAACTCTGCCCCTCCTGAAATGCTCAACCACTCTGGGTAAACGTGACTCAAATATGAAAGTGCCGTGGCCAAGCTGTCCAAACTGACCCAGGCCAAACGAATACACCTCGTGCTCTGCAGTACCAGACATACATAACATTCATTCTTCTCAATGAGGAAAGACAGTGGAACAAGACGACAAAGCAAAACATGTTCTCCTACCTGTAAGCACCACGGTGTGCCCTCCTCCACAGGATACCTGTACCACCTTATCAGAGATGCTGGTCACCTGTTGAGGCAGTTTATGACTGGCCAGCTTCTCTGTGGACAAGCCCAGCTTCCCACTGTCTTTCTCTCCAAATGTGTACAAGGCCCCATCCACTGCAACAAATAAAACAAGCATCACCTAAGATCAAGCCAGCCTTCATAGAAGGTCAAATTATGAACTTTTTATGAATTCAATGCTACCACACACTGCTGTGGATGATGGAGAGGAAGTAGGAAGGTCTCTATTACATTGAATAAATATATCAAATATTATTAATTAAATAATATTTTAATATGTCATTAAAATTGTAACTGGTATCTTATTTATATATATATATATATATATATATATATATATATATATATATATATATTACAGTTTAATAAAATAAGAGATAACATTTTAAAACTAATTAAACTTATATGAAAATGTTATTATATTATATATTTTTTTTTATTTATATTATATAAATGAATTATAGTATATGATAAATATACTGTTTAAACATAGAATTTCAAAATATTTTATTCTATAATTTATAATATTTAATAAACTATTCAAGGTTAAATACAACATGTGAATGTTGAGCATAAAGTTAGTGCATTTATTTAGCAATGGCATACATACCAGTAACAAAGGCAGAATGATAATATCCACAGGACACCCAGGACACTCGTTTCCCCACAGAAACCTCCCGAGGAGTCAGTGCATTACTCTCTTTCCCCAATCCAATCTGTCCCTCTGAGTTATCGCCCCACATATAGAGCCTGCCATCCTCTGAGATGACAGAGATATTGTTACATTATTGTTAATATTTGCTGTTGCATGTTATGTATGTAATATTAGCACCATATGTTTCGGAAATAGACACTGTTGCTGTAAGTAAGACGGAACAGAACTCTTACGCGTCAGGGCAGCAGAGGTATTGGAACCAGCAGCGAGCATTTTGACTGGTTCATGTTTGCTGAAGAAGTCCACCAGGTGGAAGGAAGTTCTGTCATCACAGTCACCGAGGCCGAGCTGTCCTTCATTATTCCCTCCAGAGGCATACAGTTTACCACGGGCTGCTCGGTGAAAAAAAATGTCTATTTTAGTTGAGGATAACGTTGCAAGTAGTTAACTAATATAGCGGTCTAAAAAAAAAAGACAAATTTGGTGTCGTGCATTTTTTTTTTTAAAGAAATTAATCATTTTATTCAGCAAGGATGCATTAAAAATTGAAAGTGACTGTAAAACATTCATAATGTTACAAAAGATTACTATTGCAAATAAATGCCATTGTTTTGAACTTTCTATACATCAAATAATTCTGTAAAAAATGTATCATGGTTTCCACAAAAAAAAAAGCAGCGTAAATGTGTTCAACACTGATAATACTAATAATAAATGTTTCTTTAGCACTAAATCAACATATTAGAATGATTTCTGAAGGATCATGTGACACCGAAGTAAATTAGCAATGGCTACTGAAAATTCAACATGCCATCACAGGAATAAATTACATTTTAAAATATATTACAATAGAAAATTATGCTAAACAATACATATTTATACAATATAAAAAACTTATTTTATATTGTAATAATATACCACAATATAAATTTCCAAGTAAAAAAATACAACTTTTAAATGGTAGTGTACATTTAAAACTACTTTTTTGGCCTGTGAAAATATTGAGATATAATCAAATAAACCAACAAACAGTATGCTCAAATATTTAAAAAATAATTCTAAAAGTACTTTTTTTTATTTCTTTTTAAAAAGGTAATGTGTGCAATTTTTTCAATGTTAAAGAAATTATTTAAACCCTCTTGCAAATTCCCAGAGAGTTCCCCTGTGTTGCCCTGTGGTCCTTTCAAAACACTGCTCTGTTTATTTCAGTGGTTTGCCTTGGTTTGGTGTGTCAACTTATGGCTCAACTAATGGAATAAGTAAATAAATAATAATAATGTAAATAATTAAGACAACAGAGAAGGTAGAAGTAACAAATTACTGTAGAAAACACATTACACCTTTTAAAAAGAGACTGATGTACTAGACTCAAAAACATAAAGCAACTATTCTGTCATGTTTGAATAAACTTACATGTATAAACAAGTGTGTGAGTTCTTCCACAGGCTGCAAGCTTCACCCTCTCTGATTTTAGGGCTTTAAGAAAACAAATATTGTCACAGCATGTCAGAAACATGTTGAATACAATTTAGTCAAGCTAAACATTTATACAACCTGACAAAAAAAAATTTCATCAAACTATATAATGAAAAATTGTACTCTTCTCTGTATTTAAGATTAATGCAGATTATGGACCACTCCAGATTGGGATTAAGACAACCTACAGCTTTGTCCTGAAAAGATAGCCTTTTCTTACAGCTATTTACCAACATGTAATTTTGTATGTCAACCAATATATTATTGCTGAATGATTCAAAATCACTCATCATTATTATTTGACATATATCATACCCAAACAGCTAAATGTGAGTGACAGCATTGGAAATGTGTTTGTGTACGTGATTTATCAGCTGTGGATGACAGAAAACACTCTGTACTACTCTCTCTTTGACTGACAGTCTGTCCGGCATAGAGTCGTACCTTTCACACAAGTGGGTTTATTCACAGTGGTCTTTGTTCCGAGGCCCAGCTGTCCCCAGTTATTGCTGCCAAACATAAACAGCTTCCCATTTTCTGAACACAATAGGAATAGCGACAGGATGAATGCTCAAAATGATGAAATAAGACTGTATTTACCAATATCCACCACTAAAATCATAAATCATACCTGTCACCAGTGCTGTGTGCTCATCTCCACAGGAAATTCTCAAAGGTACATCATTTTTGAACCAGAATTTACTAGGGGCATTATCTGCGAATTTACTCTTTCCAAAAGTGAAGACCGCTCCGGATTCTAAAACAAAAATGGAACAATATAAAAATGCAGACAGACAGATGTAATCTCGCCATTTTTGTGTTTTATCTTTGTGCACTTATACAGGCGACTGCTGTTCTCAAAAACAAGCTGTCTTTTTTTATAAAGCATACAGTATTACACTGTTGTAAACAAATAATAATTTGTATGATTTTTGTTGAAGTTTCTGTTTTTTTGAAAATATACACATTAAGATTAAAATTTATTGTTTACTTTATAGATATAGAACGGGGGGGGGGGGGGCGGGACCGCATGGCGTGGTTGCCTTGGCGACAGGTAGCCACAGGCGTCAATGACAGAGCGAGACTTAGTGCTCAATGAATAATAAACAAAACACACGCAGTAATTTACACTTATAAACCCTGGTAAATATAGTATTCGCAGGGCATAAAAGCAGTTAAGACATGTTTAACGTTACATCAGTATCACATATGATTCGCCTTCACTAAGTATGTAGCACCGTTATATAGCTTGTAGGCTAATCCTAAACAGCCATTCGTGTTAAAGAAACACACGTGTCGCAACTAAAAAGCACAAAACAGTTTACACTGATCACTAATGCACCACATAATATTTACCAGGGATCTCATCATCTGTCTCTCCGGCCATCTCCCCCGGCTAATCAGCTTATTTGCGCAGGCAGGGCTCTAGGAAGTGTGACCAAGAAGTTTGTAATATGACAGAAACCTTCCGCTTTACATGTTCTTCCGCCTTGAAGTGTCACGTGCTGCTCGTGCACAGGCGTCAATGAAAGAGCGAGACATAGTGCTCAATGAATAATAAACAAAACACACGCAGTAATTTAAATTTATAAACCCTGGTAAACATAGTATTCGCAGGGCATAAAAGCAGTTAAGACATGTTTAACGTTACATCAGTATCACATATGATTCGCCTTCACTAAGTATGTAGCACCGTTATATAGCTTGTAGGCTAATCCTAAACAGCCATTCGTGTTAAAGAAACACACGTGTCGCAACTAAAAAGCACAAAACAGTTTACACTGATCACTAATGCACCACATAATATTTACCAGGGATCTCATCATCTGTCTCTCCGGCCATCTCCCCCGGCTAATCAGCTTATTTGCGCAGGCAGGGCTCTAGGAAGTGTGACCAAGAAGTTTGTAATATGACAGAAACCTTCCGCTTTACATGTTCTTCCGCCTTGAAGTGTCACGTGCTGCTCGTGAGCTTCTCCAACTGGTTACTTGAATTTGCCAAACTTTAGACGAGAATTAATTGATTCCAGTTCAAGTTTATTCGTATATATAATATATATGATATATATATATATTATATTTTAGCGCGCACGTGTGTGTGGCTTAATATTCTAGTTTCCATGACTTAAAATAAAAACTACGAGGCAATATATGGTTTAAATATGGTTTCATTGAATAACACTGTTAACATACATAATGTAATACAAAATAAACAATTTACATTATTACAAATCCCTGCAAAGGGCACCAAAGGCCTGATAATTGCTGTTGTTACACTAACAGGACGATCAAATTCTTGTTTAATATTGACCAAACATTTAATTCAAATATCCACTTAATTTTTTTATTTTTGGCCACCTTTTTTGCGATATAAATGCTACAGCCTCTTTAATTTCTTCAACAAAAACACGTGGACATTATAATATATATATTATATTTTAGCGCGCACGTGTGTGTGGCTTAATATTCTAGTTTCCATGACTTAAAATAAAAACTACGAGGCAATATATGGTTTAAATATGGTTTCATTGAATAACACTGTTAACATACATAATGTAATACAAAATAAACAATTTACATTATTACAAATCCCTGCAAAGGGCACCAAAGGCCTGATAATTGCTGTTGTTACACTAACAGGACGATCAAATTCTTGTTTAATATTGACCAAACATTTAATTCAAATATCCACTTAATTTTTTTATTTTTGGCCACCTTTTTTGCGATATAAATGCTACAGCCTCTTTAATTTCTTCAACAAAAACACGTGGACATCACAACCCGTACCAAAATTAACCATGGCTTTATCGTAGTAAAACTGCTTAATTTTATTTTGTGTGATTTCTATAAACTTTCTATAACATTTCTGTGACTATAAAATCAATCAGACAACTGTATTAATAAAATCATAGCCATAGATAACTGTCTAGAGAATTGTAATTTATAAATAAAACAACTGAATTACAATTGATTTATTTACTTTTATTTTATTTGGATTAAAGCTCTATTTTGACCGGGGTTTTGGGATGTGCACGTTTTTTGTTGTTTTTTTTTGTCCTCAAGATATTTCACGGTCACTGGTGATTTTCTGTAATTAGTATGTACTACATGTAGTGCCTTCGAATGGCCTTCGCTGTCTTTTCCATATTACAGTGGAGTGGCTAGACAGAGAAGAATCTCTAAATAAAACGCCTCTTCCGGTTCAGTCTGTAAACAGTAGTGATGAGAAGTCCGGCTCTTTTCAAAGAATCGGCTCTTTTGGCTCGGCTCCCCTAGAAGAGCCGGCTCTTACGACTCACAAATGGCTCTTCGTTTAGTATCACTCGGAGCCTTCTATTTGAGCCCAATTTAGCAATTGTAAATGGTTTGTGTGTTGGTAAGCAATTTTTTATTCAGTGTTTTCATAAAAGCCTTATTTTTATGCATTTATTTCGTTACAAAAAAAATCACAGCAAACAAATCAAATAAATAAAGGCAAAAGTATTAACATAAAGACACTTTAGTCTTTAGTGCAGGTTGGCATTCAGAAATATCAGATGCCTCAGCTTGGATGTGCTGATGCGATTTCTCCTCTCTGTGATTATTTGTCCTGTTTTTGAGAAGACGAACATCTTCCTACCTTAACCAATGCGCTTGCGTTTAAATCGGGCTCCCCCATCTCTCTCTGTCGTTCTGTGTACCTGGCCTGTGTATTTTTTTTTTGTAACGAAAAAATGCATAATGAAAACACCGAATAAAAAAATTGCTTACCAACACACAAACCATTCACAATTGCTAAACTGTGTTAAAATAGGAGGCTCCGGCTGAAGATTCGGCTCTCCCCGAACGGAGTCGGCTCTTCTCGTTCGTTACAAAGAATCGGCTCTTAGAGCCGACTCGTTCGCGAACGACACATCACTAGTAAACAGTGAGCTCATCCCAAATCTTGAGCCGTCTCTCCCTGGTAGAATCTCCCAGCATGTGCGGCGTGGCGTCTCCACAGAAATGACCGTGAAAGCAAAGGTTTTTTCCCCCGTGTCCTTATGATCCGCCCGTTCTTTGACATAATGATGAGTAGCTATGGATCTTTGAGTTAGCCTAGAGCATGCTAGCATGCTAATTAGCCTGTAAAAGGGGCAAACGAGCAGCTGCCTGGTGCAAGCTGCTATAAAGGGATTTTCACCGGGTTTTCTGCTTTGAGAATAATGGAAGGAGTGCTTTACAAATGGACAAACTATATGACAGGTAAGCGTGAACGGCACTGACATGTAGACACTTAAACTGCAGTAGGACAGCACTGCAAGTATGCACAAGATGTATTAAGCCTGTGTCGTTATGTCTGTATAAAAAATAGAGCTGCTGATGCATGCACCTTTGTTGTTTTGTGTTGTAATGCTTTTTGCATTGCTTCTTTTTTTAAATGCTGTGTGCTTTCAATGTTTTACAATGTCAAAATTCCATGTTAAGCAATAGAGTAATAGGCTATATCCTGTCAAACTTCCCAACTTGTCATCATATGATGTTATGATACCTGATAGTATGCAGAGTTGTAACAAATCTAGTCGTAAACCTCACATTTATAATCGCTTTTTGGATGTGTTTTGTCATCTGATAATACTTTATTTTATGATAGGATGGCAGCCAAGGTGGTTTGTGCTGGACAATGGCATTATTTCATACTATGATTCGCAAGATGATGTGTGCAAAGGTAGCAAAGGCAGTATTAAGATGTCAGTATGTGAAATTAAAGGTGAGATTATCGTATATCTTATCGGTAAAATCTTCCTTCTATCCTGACGTGAAGTTATACTGTTTATTCTTATGTAATTTTTGACTTCCTCACGTTTGCTCCAGTTCACCCAACTGACAGCACGCGGCTGGAGCTGATCATACCAGGGGAGCAGCATTTTTACGTGAAGGCAGTGAATGCAGCGGAGAGGCAGAAGTGGCTGGTGGCTCTTGGAAGCTCCAAAGCTGGACTCATTGACACTAGAACCAAAAAAGAGTGGGGTGGGCTTCTCCTAACATTTTCTTCTCTTTTTATATCTTTGGCCTTTTATTATTCTCTGTTGCCTTCTCATCTAAATTCTCCCCTCGATAAAAATTAGTCTTCCAGCGATAATCTAACGTTAGTTGTTGACACATTTGTGTGCGACCGTGCGGAGTGACATGGCGGAAGGCGGACGTGAAACTGAGGAGGAGTTTATCAAATGAGGCGCTGCATTTACAATCTGGAACTGGTTTGGTCAGGGCTGTGCAATGAATAAATGCCCCTTTAGCGGTTTAAAAAAAGCGACAAGCGACAAATCTAGTGACTTCTTCGACCCTTATTTATTTAGACTAGCCGGTGTAGTGCTGCACTAGCGCGCTCATACCTCTCTCTCTGTGCCTGCTCTGTTCTGTTCTGTTCGGTGAGCGCTGAGAGGAGCTGCGATTTCAGTTAAAGGGGTCATATGATGCGATTTCAAGTTTTCCTTTCTCTTTGGAGTGTTACAAGCAGTTTTCGGCTAATCACAGTGCACTGGGTCAGCTGGCCAATCAGAGCAGACTGCGCTTGACAGGAGGAGGGACTTTGTAGAAAACGAAGCGTTTGAGAGAGGCGGGGCATAGAGGACCTACAATAATGTACAGTATTTGAAAAATAATGTGTTTTTTGAACATTAAAGCATGTCAACATATTCTGTTACACCAAATAATGATCTTTAAAAAAGCATCACATGACCCCTTTAAAATATCTATTCTGTTGCTTCTTCTAACTGTAATTTTACCTGCAAATATTGCTGAAATCACAGCACAGGTATTGTCTTTATCTAATGTGTAATTGATTTCATCAGACGGCGGCTCGATTATAAATTAATATAATATATATAGATTTTTGTGCAGCAGATTAACATCTTGAAAGGGAGTGCTAGTTATGTATGGTTGTGTATGTTTTAATGGACCGCATTTCCGTCACTATTTATGTTCATCCCGTTGTTTGACAACAGAAACTGAAAAATATATATCAATGAAAAAAGTTTTATTGAGAATTTGGTAGGGCTGTGAATCTTTGGGTAGACAGCAAATCGATTCGATTCACGATTCAAAAGTTTTCGATTCGATTCAAGAACGAATTTTTGCAAATTCAGAACGATTCAATTCGATTCGATTCACAATTAAATTCGATTAACGATTCGATTCTGCATTCTTTAAGTGCATTCACAGGATTATTTAAATGCTTCCTCTAAATTCTTTAAATGCTTAGTCAGGGGAAAGCAGCCTTTATTGTTAGAGAACCATAGGTTAGAGAAAAAAAACACTTTTGTCCATTGTTAGATCCTAGTTTAATGATGCTATGGCATGACATGGCATATGTAGACATTTATGTAAGCCAATATTTTAAAAAAGAGCTTTAAAAGTATTATGTATAGGCTAACATTTTATCACACCAGGGGCGTAGCCATTTCAGAAGTG